GTCGCAAAAAGGCTTCAGCGAGCCTCGCGGCAGGTTGCAAAGTTGTCAGACGGGGACTTGGAAAACGAACCCTCTAACCCCTAAACCACTAAACCCCTAAACCCTAAACCCTAAACCCTAAACCCAACAGCAAGTCGGTCCAATGTAGTTTGTGACTTCGAGAGCCGGACCTCGAATAACAGGGAGGCCCAGCCTCCAGCTCCCGGAAGCAACCCGAAAGTCTGAAACCCAAGGCCCTCTAAGACTACCTGTGGTCTCCGTTGTAGTTCCGTTTTTGGTTAACCAACTTTATGGTCAGGATACTATAGTATAAATTCGGTTAACCGAAAAAGGAACTACAATCGAGACTATAGGTAATATTCGAATTAACTTTGGTGTGTTGATATCAGTACTCATGCTTTTAGTACGATTTAGTATTCGGCTTCCGTGCTTGTATTAACGCTAGGGTTTGGGGTTTAGGGCTTTGTCGGATTCTGAACCCGGATTTTGGACTTAGGGCTTGGGGGCTGGGTTCGAGAGTCGGTTTGGGGGTATAGTAGCGCAAAAGATCAGATGCTCAAGCTGGTGAAGTTGGAAAGCTTTAAAGGAATGCCCGAACCCCAAACCATAAACCCTGTTAGGACCTTACAACCCAAAGCCTAAACAACATGAACCGTTAAACCCTGTGGGGCCTGAAACCCTGCAAGCCCTGAATCCCTAAGTCGCTGCAGCTTCCCCATTCACCTTGTACGGCAGGTGCGTGCTTTCTGGCATACCCGCGACAGCTATGGTGCCGTGCTGCGACATGCACTGCTTCACAGTGCTCTGGCTGTGTCCGTGCATATGCCTATCCTCTAGCGATGCAACGGACCACGCCTTTCTCGATCTATATTGACTTAGTACTATTTTTGGGTAGGAAGACAACTTGGCAGCGAGTGGCATTGAACGCACACTTTGCCTTCATGGCAGGCAGGTCAGCAAACGTACTGTTGACTGTTGTCGTTGTCTTCTAGCAAAGACTGCTTTTTGCATATACAAAGTCGTGCTATGGAGACGCAGCAGCCCTTACCTATAGTGTTTTTCGCTTCTTTGCAATTCCGGAAGAGTAGCATATGCGCTCTCCGAGTCAACATGGCTGAGGTCATCGAGTGAGTCCCCGTGCACATGACTTCACGCTAGTTCTCGAAGTCAGGTAGGGTTCGCTTGCTCATTTGAGACTCGCAATTCTAACAGGTTTCCAGTGGCCTATTGTGGCAGCATACCACACTCCAAAATTTAAAGTGTAGGGTCGACGGCTTCAGAGGCTTACAATCCCGAACGTTTCAAACACTATTCTTTCTCCTGATGCCAGATGCCCGAGCAGCTCGTTGTGGTCTTTGTCCTTAGGTATTGTTTTCATGCTGTATTCAAAAACAACACATCGCATGCTGCCACAAGTAAGACTGGGCTCTATCAAGTCTACAGTCTACGAGTGAAGGTGTGCAGGCTGCGTTTTCGTGACGGATACTTTGGCTGCCTGTAAGAGCCCATTAGCCCACACAGTGGTCACTGAGTTTTGCGTACTGTAAGGTTTGGTGCAAGGGCTGAAAGAGCTGCAACCCACTGTACCTCCCTCTGATACTGAAAAAATCTGCATTCTAATCCTAAACCCTAAACCCTAAGCCGTTAATACCGGAGTATATTTTGTGAAGCCCGATCGAACACTTTACAACAAAACCTAGATGCACTGGGCTCCTCGGGTAATACCGGGGTTTGAATAAATCAATAGTCATATTCCCATCGCTCTTTATACAACCACACTCTACCTCAGAACCCTACTTTAAAAAAAGTATAAAGGCACTTATAGCCGAAACCAAAACTTCTAGAACCCTCATAAAGCAAAACCTGACTCTTATTCTAATTATTGCACCTCTGTTGTCATGCTTGTCCGAAAGCCCTTCTTCATCTTTCACAGAGGCCGTAAAGGAACCCTGAAAGGAATCCCATTCCGATTGTTCAGGCTCCTCCATTGCCATGCGTGGTGTACGGCGAAGGTCTTCAGCCCTACCTCTAGTCTCCATTGTAGTTCCTTTTCTTGGTTAACTGCTTAGGATCCTATAATATAATCTTGGTTAGCCAAAGAAAGGAAATCCCTAAACCCTAAACCTTATAATTATAAGCCCTAAACCCTAAACCCTATAAACCCTAAACCTTATAAGCCCTAAACCCTATAAACCCTAAACCTTATAAGCCCTAAACCTTATAAGCCCTAAACCGCAAACATTATTGATAAACCCTAATTCAACCCTAAGCCCTAAGCCTTGTAAACCCTACACCCTAAGCCCTAGAAGGTCTTCAGCCCGGAGCGCCTCAGGCAGACTTGAGCCTCGAGTTTCATTGCATCCTGGCAGCCGTTCAAAGCTAGGGTTTAGGGTTTAGGGTTTATATGGTTTAGGGTTTAGGGTTCAGGGTTTATGTTTAGGGTTCATGGTTTAAGGTTCAGGGTTTAGGGTTCAGGGTTTAGGGCTCAGGGGTTCAGGGTTTAGGGTTCAGGGTTTAGGGTTCAGGGTTTAGGGCTCAGGGGTTCAGGGTTTAGGGTTTCAGGGTTTAGGGTTTCAGGGTTGAGGGTTGAGTGTTTCAAAGCCAAAGCTAGAGGCTCCAAATATACTACGATTATGGGATTAGGTTGCAAAAGACCATCCTTATCATGTTTTTCGGGGCCTAGTTCCACAATGGTAGTCTATATGGAGCCTCTGAAACAGCTAGGGTTCAGGGTGTAAGGTGAAGGGTTGAGGGTGCAAGGTTTAGAGTTTGACGTTCAGAGTTTAGGACAAGGCTTGGATCCCTTTTTTGAGGGCGGCTTTGGGAGGGTAGGGTTTGGGGTTTTAGGGTTTGGAGTTTGGGGTTTTGGTGTTGGGGGTTCGCGGACTGGGGCTGTTACGGTTTGTAGGGGCTTAGTGCTTCGGTTTAGAAGTTAGGATAAGTAGCTCTTCGAACCCTACACCCTAAACCGAGTTCCTTTATAGTACCCTTAAGGGGCCCCAGAAAGAAACCTTACAGAAACCCGTTCAACAAGCGCATAGAACCATCAACTCTGTAATTCCCTATCGTCTCTTTATTGGAACCCTACTATACACCCAACACCCCAATGTCCCTGTAAGGTAACCCTAAACCCTAAACCGTAAACCCCAAACCCAAAGCGCCTTTAAGGCCTAAACCCTAAACCCCAAACCGTGAAGCCCTTTTAAGGTAACCCTAAACCCCAAACCCTGAAGCCCCTTTCAGGCATAAACCCTAAATCCTCAGCCGGTCTCCTTGAATTCCGAGGTTCCTCGGAAGCCTCTGGGCTGCTGCGCTTTGAGGCCTCCCAGCGGTGGCTGATCGGATACTTGCCTGCCACTTAGGTTTTAAAATTCAGGGTTTAGGGTTTATGGCTTCGAGTTTAGGGTTCAAGTAGGGTTTGAGGCCAGGTTTAGGATAATTCCTCTAATGTACCCTAATATATATATATATATATATATATCCACTATTCAGGTCCGGAAGGGGTGGATTTGAGGGCACTTCGAGGGTTCCTGGTGGAGTTTAGGCTTCAGGGTGCAGGGTTTCGGCATTTAGTGTGCAAGGTTTGCAGCCTACAACACCTGGGGTATTGTAGGGTTCAGGGTTTAGGGTTTAGGGGTTTAGGATTCAGGGTTTAGGCCTAGAGGGTTTGGTTGAGGCCTGAGGGGTCTTAGTCTTTCAAGGGTTAGAGGAAGAACTACAAGACTTGCTGAATATGAGGTTCCTTTGAACTGAAAACGGTTCATTGCAGTATTAACAAGTCTCCTAAAAAGGCTTTCTCAATATCAGAATTCGAAGCTCTGCAACATACCCTGGAGTGACTGCGCAAGGCACTGGCGTAACCGATGCCAACACCCTAAACCCTAAACCCGGACTTACTAAACCCTAAACTCCATACCGTGGCACAAATCCGACACCGCTGTTGGACTTCTGAAAGTTGGCTCCGGCGGCTTCAGGATCACAGGATTTGTAATTTGGTGCTTTAGGGGCCCAGGGTTAAGCAATTTAAGGTTTAGGGTGATACCAGTAGTAAGTTTGTAGTTCAGTCAGTAGTAAAGTTTCGGGGTTTAGGGTTTCGGGGTTCGGGGTTTAGGGCTTGTAGGGCCTAGGGTTGAGGGTTTAGGGGTCCGCGAGTGCTGGAAGACTCGGGTTTAGGGTTGAGGGTAGTGCTACAAACCCGATACTCCACAGGATACATCGACCTGGAGCTCAGCGACGCAGTCTCGGAAGGTTACATCACTCTCCAGGATGTGAAGTCGGATTCGAAGTCTTGCGGTGATCACTGTGAGCTCACCTTCAGCGGCAGCGGTGCAACTTGGATCAACATATTTTTGTTCACAACCCGAGCCTGAAAAAATTGCGAGAAGCAGCCGTCAGAAAGAGCGTGTTCCCAGAGCAGCACCAACAGCCATCCTCTTTGTGCACGATTCGTAAGAATAGCAGCAAGAATAACAAGAGTGCCTTTAGATGTGTTTCAGGTCCTGGGGTGTTTAAGCTTCAGGGTTTAGGCTTTAGGCAAGGGTGTGTAAACACTCCGCAAAACACGGTGATGATTGAAGATCCTAGAGAGTTTGTTTCCTAGCTTCAAAACCCTAAGAGGATCCAAACTCTACGAGATTTCGTTTGCTTGAGTTCAGCTTGGAGTCTATTTGGCGCTCCTAAACCCTAAGCCCTTAAACCTAAACCCTAAAACCTAAACCCTAAACCTTGTGTGGCTTGGGGCGCCTGTGTGGGCTTGGGTTTAGGCTCTTAGGTTTGGGACCCCATGCGACAGCCTTGAAGCTCTGAAGCCTACCGGCCCTTTTAATCCAATACCCTAAAAGGTTAAGGGTGTAGGGTGTAGGATTTAGGGTTTATGGTTTAGGGGGCTTCGGGCTGCAAGTCCTGTAGGAGATCAGCCTCGACGTTGGCTCCTGCGCCGTGCAGATTCTTCTGATTCGCACTGTTCCATCGTCTCGGGTGCGAGTTCGTGCGGGGCCCTGGTCTGCCTGGGTTCATTCCATGGGTCCTGTGAGTAGTAGTAGTAGTAGTAGTAGTAGTAATAATAGTAATTGGAGCCGCAATTGTAATGGTAATGGATAGTAGTTATTATTAATATTTAGTAGTTAACAGCAATAGCCTGAAACAACAGTATAGCAATGGAAAAATAGTAGTAGAAGTGATGAAACAACATGCTCCACAAAGATGACCCTTACACAGCTATCCTTATGGTATGCTATGGTGTTCGGTGCAATATACTTAGGGGCTGAGTAGGTAACCTTTAACCTTTTGGGGCTTATATAAGCCTATTATAATTCAAAGGTTAACCTTTTTTGGGCTAAGGTACTCGGCCCCTAAGTATAAGTACGTTGTCTTCCCTGGTTTGGACATTTATGTCTTGAAGATTTGCTTGCAGACTCTTTTCTCCGGGGTCGCGTTCGAAACCACAAACCAAAGGGTACCTTTAAGGTCCCTTTTAAGGGTGCTGTATGGGTTCCGCTTAAGAGGGTGCTGTATGGGTTCCGCTTAAGGCTACTATGCGCTGCACTGCTTTAGGGTACTTTTTTTTTAAAGGGTTAAGTGCAGCCAGTTGGAGTCCCTGGTTCTCAGGGCAACGGCTCAACTGCTTTAAGCCTACACTTAGACTGCCCCTGCTGTTGAATTGTCTTGGGGGGCTTCGGGAACTCAGTTCCGCAAGCAAAGTGTGGGACGTTGTGGGAGAAGCGTGCGCTGTCACAGGGATTCGGCACGTTTGGACGCGGCCCTAAACCGAAAACCGGACATTCCGGCCTTGAGATCCAGCCCAAGGCCTAACAAGTCGGGGCGCGAGTTTCGCCCGACCAAGAAAAGTAGGGCGTGAGTCGAATAACCAGGATTCCCAAACAACCAATAAAACTAGTGTCGGAACTGTCCCAGGCATGTACGTATATATATATATATATATTAAGTGTATGTGTATGTATATATATATATAGAGTATAACATATACGTACATTTACACTTGTACGATCATATACACCAAAAAAGTATCCGATTCGTTTCCTACGCCCTTCATTACCTCCTCGATGCCAGGACTCCGACCTCCGGAGACGGTGATGTGCCTGGGCCCCCTCTAAGGAAGTTGGCAGCTACTTAAGGGATTAGGGTTTAGGGTTTAGGTTTGGAGTTTCGGATTTGAGTTTGGAGTTTCGGATGTAGGTTTAGGGTCTAGGGTTTAGGGGCTGGGTAGGTAGCCGTTGTCCGCTTTTGTTGGGCTTGCATGGCGGTATAACCGCACCCTGGTGCCTGATGAGTCTAGAAGGGATCTTACACCTTTTGTCAGGAGCTGGACTCCAGGTACAATGTTACCATTGTGCTGGAAGCTAGGAGTTGCTAGTTGCTGTATATATCATTATGGCAACCAAAATATGTACATATATATATATATATCCATCTACTGATTTACGGTTTATCCGCGCAAGAACCAGGATTGGGGAATCCGTGCCAATGGATGATCACTTGGGGATGAAGCCGTGGCTGCTGTGCGTGCTCATGGCTCTTCGCAGACATCTGCCGCAGGCCAATGTGGTTTGGGGTCTTTGAGTTTAAGTTTAAGTTCTGGGTCAGGGTGTGTAGGGATAAGGATCTCGATTCTGTTGAGGACAACCCTAAACCCTAAACCCTAAACCCAAACCCTAAACGATAAACCCTTCATGGAGCTGGTCAGATCATTTAGGTGCAGCGTTCGCTCCTCATCCAGTTTCGCCTATGGGCCTGAGGTCATGAGGATCATTTTTCAGGCCCATCAGCGATCATAAGTCTCATCCCTTAACCCCTAAACTCTATGCCCCAAAACTCACCCCTAAACTTCCCTAAACCCCTCTAGACCCTAAACCCCTACTCCTGCACAGGTGGCAACGGCCCTGATCGCAAAGTTTGCCCGTCCTGTGCTCCCGTTCCGGCAAGTGGCGATCGGCGCCTCGGCACTCGGCGTTTCATCCCAGGCTGAGGAGTTTGATGCTAACAGAAATCTAGTACAACAATAGCAGATTATCATAATTCTACGAACTAATAGTAGGAAGAATGATAATACCAATACTAATAACGGCCATCATCAGCAACAGCATCATCATCGTCATCGCCATCACCGTCATCATCATCGTCGTCATCAGAATCAAAACCATAACACTTGACAGCATTCGAGGTCATTGTGCATCTGAGACTAGAGGTATTTGCTGACCCTCGGTTGCTGTGATTCCCTAAGGGTCCATGTGCCCAAATAGTAGATACTTTGGCCCCAAAGTACCCGAATAGGGACTACTTTAAGGCCAAAGTATCTACTATTCGGGTACATGGACCCTTAAGCCCTAAACCCTATAGAACCCCTATAGATCCCTTCAAAGGAACCCTAAAAGAGACCCTTAAAGGAACACTATTTGGGTACATGGACCCTTAGGGATTCCTCTGAAGAGATTCACTGCTCCATTTTCTTCCCACTGCCTCGCCTCAAGACCATGGTTTAGGGTTTTAGGGTTTTAGGGTTTAGGGGTTTTACAGTTTGGGATGTGGCTTGGTCTTGAGAGTCTTACGGCCCTGAACCCTACAAGCCATGGACAAAAGCCGCAACGCAGGCCTCAGCCATGACCACATCTGCTGGGAGCAGCAGGAGTGGGAGTATCTCAGTGAGAGCTGCTTACCAGTCTTGGCGCCTTGTGGACACTTGCCGGAATGGTCTCCAAGCTGGTTATCGTGGGTGCTATGAAGAGTTTTGCTTCCGGCGAAGTACCCCTAATCCCCTAAGCTCTGAACCAGAAAGCACAAGTGCCCTTGCTTTAAATCCCCCAAAGATCTCCCAGACCCTGAATCCAAATTATCGATCAACTCAGGCGAAGAGGCGTTTGTTGCCATGCTGGATCGCTTGCGCCGTATCGGGTGCCATATTCCCATTCCAAGATGGCATTCGATGTGAGCCGGTGTCAGGGCGGGCTCTGCATTCAGATGCACAGGACCGTAGCATCGAGAGCAAAGCTTGAGCTTGCAGCTACGGAAACTCGAGGCCTTAGGCAATTCCGAAATTCCTCCATCCTTCGCGACCGACCAGCCCTCGGTGGGAGCAAGGCTTGCTCGGTGCATGTGTTCCGCTTTAAGCTGCTGAAGGCAGGTCCATGTTCGGTGAAGAGCGCCCAACTTGACTACCGTACTCGAGGTGCGCGGTGGATTTACAACCCAACGGCCTCCAGACGAGGGTCATGTCCCCACGAAGGTGGAGATTCCTCCCTGTGTCAGCGGCATGCAGTCCGTTGCAGCAGATCACATGGCGCCACGTAGTCAAGACCTTCCATGGAGGCGACTGCTGTTGAAATGTCCTGCTGTAGTATAGATACCAGAATAATTCCGAATAGTTACTTCACGGCTCCTTAACTTGGAGAGGCGAAAGCCCTCCAAAACCTACTGCAACTGTTCAGGCCCGTGTGTTGGACCCCAAACCCTACCCCAAAGAAGCGCTTAGAGACCCGAAGCGATTGAAGTTATAGACGCCCTAGATCACCTCGGCCCAAAACCTTGAAGAAACTGGCAGGAATTCTCACCTCCTGAGCTGTTTCGAGGTTTACCCATAGTCTTTTTTGTCCTCCCTTGTCCTGTTGATGTTGCTGTTTTAAGATCCTAAGCCAAGCGTAAAACTAGTCCCCCGCCCCAAAAGAAAAGGTACTATATTGCGAAGACTGCATCATATGCAAACTCCTACAAAGACCCTAACACTCCTATAGAAGCCTCTTTGTTTAAGCCTGTGAAGCCGTGAAAAGACCCTGAGGTAAGGGATGGAGTCGAAACATCCCATGTTGAATGTGTGTGTGTGCCTATTATGAGAAAGTTTGGTACAGCTTTCAGAAACAAGTCCGAACAACTCTAATTAGGTATGCAAGGCAGTACTTACAGCCTGCAAACCCGGAAATCTGGCTTGCAGATTAGAGAAATAGTTCTTCGTATCTGGTTGTTCCATTTTTTAAAGAAGACACCTGAAGTGCGACGGACAGATGTGCAGTCGCTGATTCCTTCTGCGCTGCGACAGTGGCAGAAGCAAATTGGAGTTCGTGGTTTCGGGTTTCCAAGGGGTTCAGGTTTCATAGCGGTTTCGGGGTTGAGAGCTTCGTCGTCAGTCACGGTTGTAGTTAGTGCTCAAGGTCTATAGGGCAGCGCAGAGGATCTTAGGGTTTCGCGGGTTTTCAGTTTTGTGTCCACTCCTCAGAGTTGTGGGGCACAGCCTTTGGACAGTATGCAGTCGAGTAACACTGGCCATCGCATGATGCTGCCGGTCATCATGGCGATGGTGGTATGAAGATGGACAATGGCGAAAAACAGACAGAGCTATGATGACTGTGCATATGAACACCAACTAGCAGTCGACATGATGATGCAGCAGTGGTGGTGAGGAGGATGAGAGTCCGTGAGAACGGAAATCACAATGATGGTGATTCCATTGATGTCAGTTGTGTTAATGATCTGGACAAGATGATCATCATTCCCCAGGTCATTGTCGCGGCACCACAGATTTCGATCATTGACGGCGAGCCGGGCCCCTTCTGGTTGCGAGCAGTGAATTGCCGACTGAGAGATATGAGTTTATAGTTTTGACTATCAATAACATCGGTTACGTTTTTGGGCGGTTTTACAATATCCTCGAAACTTCGCTCTGTGAAAGCTGTGTGCTTGTGTGACTGGGACGTAGCTGGGAGAGTAATGACAGCAAAGACTCGTTCAGATGTCCAAAGCGCCAAAACAGCACAAACAAGACCTTTCGGTTCCAGACCTTGTTGGAGTTTGAGCTGGTCGAGATTTTCGGGATCCGGATTAGGGCTGAGGGTTCAGGTTGCGGGCTGTTGGCGTTTGGGGTCCATAGGGCTTCGAGTTCAGGGGTTCCGTGTTCGTGGGCCTCGTGCGGCCCGGGGATTGATGAGACCATTGTGCCGTGACATCTGGAGGTAGCTCCTACGGTGGATGATATGAATCCTGCATTACCCGTAATAAGGAATCCATACCATAATTCCCATAGTCTAGGGTCCTTAAGGTAATGCAGGATTTATATCATCAACAGTATTCCGTAATCAACACAGAATCCTTCTGTGCACCCCGGTAGAAACCCTCAAAGCACCGGCCTCTACCGCGAGACCCCGTGTGCAGACACCTACGGTCTAAACCCTAGAAAGCGAAGCCCCCAGACCCGAGGACCCCTCTCCGCAATCCCTAAACTTAAACTCCTAAGCCCTAAACCCAAAGCTTTCAACCGGCCTAAACTTTAGACCCTAAAGCCTAAACCCGAAGCAATCAAACCTGAATATTAGATCCTTGCGTCCTAAACCCTGAACCTTAATCCCTAAAGTCACCCTAGAACCCTAAGCCCCAAACTTTAGCATAATCCCCTAAACCCCAAACTTTAGAATAATCCCTAAACCCTAAAACCCGAAACCGTAAACCCTGAAGCCTAAACCCAAAACCCAAATAATCCCTAAACCCTAAACCCAAATGATCCCTAAAGCCACACCCAGGCCCGTCTCTGCCGAAGACCGCGAGGCCGCCACTGCAAAGGCACCAAGCGAGATGTTCAGGGCTTTGGGGTCTAAGAGTTCAGGGTTTTTGGGGTGGTTTGTTGGTTTAGGCTTTAGGGTTTAGGGGTTTAGGGGTTTAGGGTTTAGAGTTTAGGGTTCAGGGTCCCATTTAGGGTTTAGGGGTTTAGGGTTCGGGGCTGTAGGGTTTAATATAGGGGCCTTATAACAATTAGAA